GCCACCTGGCTCCGGCTCCAGCCATCGTTGCTCCAGCATCGGTCTTCAAGGGCCACCGAATTTTCGACCACCCTACGCAGGATCAAAGATGACATGCCAGATATCACCTATTCCCACAACCTCCTCGAGAGGCGAACAAGAAATTACTGAACTGGAAGATTAGAAATCTTCAAAAGAACATCACCCCTCCCTCCCCCTMCCCCCTCAGCCCTACACTGCCCCCGCCGAGGCGAGCGTCCCGCTCTCCCTCGGCCCCAATATAGGACCAACCCCCTCCACCCCTGTCCACGAGGATACGCAGTTCCCTCCTAAAACATGCCCTCGCCGCCCCTTGCCCGTTTCTGCCTCCACTGAGGACGATGTTGACCCCTCCCACCACCCCAGCCCCAGAAACAGGACAAACCCCCAACTCCGCTTCTACCCTCTTCGAGACATTCACCCCCCTCCTTGTGAATCCCCTGCAGGATAGCGCTCCCTATCCACCCCACTCTCCCAGTTCTACCCTTCTAAAATAATCGATCCAGCCCAGGAATAAACTCGGAATTTTCTTCTGAAAAGGACCCGTTGAAAAGGGCGCAGGGCAGCAGTAAAGATTATTACAATTATTCCCCTTCCCCTTGCGCCCAGTGAACAGATGACTACTCCCACCAATTTAGATAGCAGAAAGTAATTATCGGAAAAACTATCAGGATTTAAGCTATGATAGTGAAATTCAAAAAAACCTCAGGATTTATTAAAGAGTATAGTCAAGGAACAAAATTACGTAACTATCGTGATGATTTAACAATAACAATAATAGCTAACAACATAACAGTGAAAGATCGCTATTATTGCAATAACTCAGCTCAAATCATGCATCAGTTCTGGGCCGTGGGCCGTCACCTTGGTCAAAGGGCCAAAATAGGGGTCAAAGATCACGCCCAGTCATGCAAACTGCCCGAAAGAAAGCCTGCTGCTGTGGGGTACCCGAAACAAGGCCTAAAGTGGCTTATAGAGGCCCAACGTGCAACAGTTGACCAAGGGAAGTCAACAATCAACAGCAGCTCGGGAATTCAGGCCACAAGTCAAAGTCGACGTGGCCTGCTGACGTGTCCTGCTGACGTGGCCTGCTGACGTGGCCTGCTGACGTGTCCTGCTGACGTGGCCTGCTGACATGGTCTGCTGATGTGGCAACTTACCAATGCCGCTGCAGGGGGTACCCGAAGACAGATAGAGAAGGTAAGGCGAGAGGGGGCAACACCATAGGTGGGGAGGGGCGGGTGGGGATAAATCGCCCAGATAAGGAGCCACTAATCAAAAAACAAATTTCGAGAAAAATAAAAATCCCGAGTTTTGCAAGTTCAACAGGTCTCCCAACCTCCCTTGAAGTGCGAAATTATCAACGAGGAAAAAAAAAAAAATTGAACTTGCAGACTGCCAATGATTATCAGGTAGGGAAAATCATAGAACTGCGAATAAAAAAAATTCTGAAAATAAATAACCAGTATTCGGACTTAATCAGATGAGAGTATTCGCAGTTTGAAAAATGGTACTGCAAGAGGGATTTCCCGTACCGCTTTGAAAAAAAACGGGTTTCGGAAAAAGTATTCCGAACTTCCAAATAACGGGAAATTGCAAAAGGAAATCGAAATTTTCAAAAAAAAGATATTCCGGATTTTCCGATTTTCTAACAACGAAATTTCCAATTTTCAGAAGAAAACGAAAACGGAATTTTCAGATGTTGTGCTATTGCGATTTTCCACAACAGAAATAGCGAGAAAACAAAATCCAAGAAAAAAAGAAAAAAAAAATCGATTTTTGGCAGTGAGGTCAAAATCGTGATTTTGGGGGCTAACTAGTGTGCTCTAATCAATCAATCAAGACCATAGTTGCGGCGCACGTGTGCGGTGCACGGTGTGCGCCGGTGCGCTGTGCGTTAAGTGCAGGTTTAGCAGCACACGCACTCTGCGCTGTGCGCGCGCTGCGGCC